CGTTCACAAGACCGGTGGGACTTGGATGACTTCTGATTGACTCGGGAATCTATGCATAGTAAGTGATCATGAGGAGTCCTGATCAATCTTAGAGTCAATAGAAAAAGATTCCTAGTTCTGTGAAAAACTATATTTAGTCAACAAGAGAGATGATACTATTTCCTTGCTCTCGACTAAATGTGAATGATGATATGAGGGATGATTCCGACACGGTATCCAAATTAGAAAGGTAGATCACTTGGTCAACTCAGTTAGTTCTGGGGCCGCAGAGCATTGCTAGTGTCTTATGTGGTCATTAAATGAATTGGGCCTGTTAAAAGAGTTTAATTGGTCCAAGTTCATTTATGTCAGTGACTAATTGGGCCTAATGGGTCACACACAAAGGTTATTCCTTGTTGCAAGCAGGTTTGGGCCAATAATAAGTTATTGGATTTTATCAAGACTATGAGTTAAATTGGGTTGGAATTGGATTCCAAGCCCAATCAAAAACATGCGCCACATTTGGCCCTTTAGAGCGAAATTGTTTCTTGCTAATGGGATCAAATGTTTAGTTAGGCCCAGCAGGGTCTTTGGGCCATGGATCCTAGAAAGTCAAAAGTTGATTTGACCAAAATAAGTTTTGGACAAATTCGAAATTTGAATTTTGAAATTTTGAATTTTGAAATTCAAATTCAAATTTAAATTACGAAATTCGAAATTTAAATTTTGAAATTTGAATTTTGAAATTTTGAATTTCAAATTTGAATTCAAAATTTGAATTACGAACTAGGATAACAATGAAGTTTAAATTTTGAATTTAAAGTTTGAAAAGTTGAAAATCTGAATTTGAAATTTGAACTCATGAGATTGGGTTGTTGATTGATATCTAATGGAGATTGGATATAGATTTTCTGAACAGTTTTGTTTGAATTTAGAATTTAAACAATAGTGTTGGAGCTACAAAATGGAGAAGATCATGGTGATGAATTTCAAAATTTTGAAGATGGTTCTTCTAGAATCTAATTCAAAATTTCAACACTTGAATTTCATATTTTCAGCTCTTGGAATTTTTCGAAATTTTGGAGCCTCTGGAGAGATGTTGATTTCGAATTTTTAGCAAAATTGGTGGAAGAGATATTCTCTCAAACTACTCAATCTTTCAATATCTTTGAAGATTTGTTTTTAAATTTAATATTCTGATTTTTTAAATGAAGAATCTTTAAAAGATCACTTGTGAAGATATAAGAAAGCAAGCATCTTTTCAAAGGGCTCAAGAGAATAAAAATTCGCCCCTCTCTACAAGAAAAGCTCCTATGTGTTTTTTGAAAATAGATCATCACCTATTCTTCTCCATTTTCGTCCCACACCTAATCTCAAGACAACAATCATAGTCTTGAGAAAATTAATCAAACACTTGTAAATCCTCTAGCCTTCATTCGCCTAGCAAGCAATTAAGGACAAGGAGGATCAAGGAGAAGAGTTCTCTGTTGCGACATTGGAGATAGCTGTGTGGACTATCATTAGAGGGCATCATCCTTTTGAAGCCTACAAGAGATCGGAATAAGGTAATTCTAAATCCTCTCGTGTTTCAATTAGCGTTTTTCTTTCTAAATCACATGAGGGCATAGATTGTCTATGCATTCCGCTTTCATAATTTTTTTTTTATTTTTCCCTCATGTAGGCATATCATTGTGCGACAATGATAGTGCTAAAGTTTTGAACTTTCACAATATGGCGGGTTTCATGGCTCAAGACTACCACCAATGTGTTTGGGAGGTGATTTCCAATAAATTTCAAGTCAAAGTTTGCTTGATTTGGTTGAGTTTTGAGTGAGTAATGGAGGAAGGAAAATTTGAAGGCAAACTTGCCCTCCAATGGTGTTGGCCGCAAGTTTGATAGGAGTGAGGGGAGGAAGATGATGATTTAATGGTGGCTTTGCCATGTGGCAAGGTTCACTTAAGTGGGGTGAGTCCCACTGCCACCCCACGCGATTTTTCCAATTTCCCTCTGATTCCACTAAACGTCTATAATTTCATAACCTATTTAGAAACTCTAATTTTTAACATTAATCATTGTCCAATAATTACCCTTGATCAGATGAATCCTGAGTTTTCTGGTCGTTCGGAGAAACTGCATTTTTAAGCTGTTACGCGCGTTGTAGGCACGCTTCCCCAAACTCACTAATTTCCGTCAAATTTCACCAAAAATCATATTTCCTAATCTATAACTTGTATTCAAAACCTAGAGCTCAAATTTCAATCGGCACACTTTACGGTGCAACTGTACTGCGGTATTTTTACCCGGTAAAAATACTATTCACCAAATTTTAAGAAACTTTCCTAACCACTCAATTTTTCGTTCTGAACCCATTTCCAGGGTTATTTTCATCATTTGAGACCTCCTACTAAATTTTACCCTCCTAGGGTTGCGTGTTTGGTTAATTACCGTTTTACCCTTCCTTTGTATTTTGACCTGATTTTCAGGATTTTCACTAATCCTTTCCTTTAATCCATGTTTAATATATTAATATATAATTTAGAAATGCGAGGTGTTATAGATGCCTCTCTCACAATCTCATCCTAACCCCTAGGATTTCTTGAGATTTCTCTGTTGCAGTGTTTTCTTATTCCTTTGGCAAGTTGACCCGCACGAATTCGAGTTCCGCAATGGGAGCTTTGTCAAAACTAAAAAAACATATTTTTGAGCAATTTTCATCACAAAACAACCCAGAAACAATAAATCAACGATATTTTAATATAATCTATCTAAAAAACAACACATTTTTGAGCCATTTTTAAGAAATTTTGGAAGTTTAAAAAGTGATTTTTCAAGTTATGGGTTATGGTTTTTCTTGGCACAAAGATGTGTGATTTTTATATTAAAAACAACATAAAAAAATGGGAAAATAATAGGGGAACTAAAAAACAATTTTTTAGTTTCAGAACAAAAAAACAAAAATACTCGTTTGGTAAGGTCTGTTTTGTAAAAAAAGTTTTAAAATCTGTAACTATTTTTTTGTTTTTAAAATCAAATTTAGAGAACATGTCTGAGTTTTTTTTTTTTTTTTTTTTCTGTTTTGGTTTGTAACTTTCAAAACAAAAAAAAACACAGAAAACAACTGTTTCCATAATTATTCTATAAAACAGTTTTAAGAACAAAAAAACCAAAACCCTCAAACCAATTTTTCGTTTTACATCAATGATATATCAATTTAAAGAAAGATTGAAACTTTTATAATATGAACCCTATATTTCATAACAATACATTCATGAACGAAATTCTTTCACTATAAGAAACGACTTCAAACAATTTTTGTGTCAATAGATAACTAAAAACTCATTTTTCAAAAGCCCCAAAGCAATTTAAGGTTTAAATGTATCGATTGAAATTTTTTTTAGAAATTTTCTAAACTTTAATGTAATAAAATCCAAAATTTAAGATTCAAAATTTTCTTAGAATATGCAATGAAAATATGCATATGATATATGGTTAGAAAACTCTCATCACGTAGAACAAAAACCCCAAGATTTTCAAGATCAATTGCAAAAAATTTCAAACAAAATTTTATCATGAACTTTAGGTTCTATATGTAAATTTAGAATTATTTTAATAATTAAAAAAGTTGGGTCTTATAATCATATATGCATAGCTTTGATACCAAATGAATAAGATAATTTTAAACCCATTGGTCAAACCCAAGAGCAGGAACGAGAAAATGTTAATGCATAGATGACTAGTATAACTTTAGATATGTGAAAAGCTGTTGTTTAGGAATTTTGAATGTTTGTTAAAAATTACATTATATTTTACTGATTGAGAAAGTTATATTAGGTTTTATTTTATTTTATTAATTTTATTGCATTTCTTTGTTATTTTTTTTATGGAGAAGGTTATACTTACAATCTATTTTTGTTTACAACCTTTTACAATCATATCTTAACTATTGATTTTCGTCAATCAACGGTTATTATTTTCGCAAATCAAACTCATTAATTAGTATTTAATTTGCAATGAATGATAACAGTTGATTGAAAAAATCAACGGTTAAGATATAATTGTAAAAGATTATAAACAAAAATAGGTTGTAAGTATAATCTTGCTCTTCTTTTATTGACTCTTGTAATTTTGAATGTTTGTTAAAAATTCATATGATTTTTTAAAATCTTATAAATCCATATTGTTCTTTCAAATCTTATAAATTCTATTAAAATCATTTAAAACCCAATCTTATGAAATCTTGATTGTAAAAAAAGTCTTTAAAGTCCCTCAAATTCTAAATAATCTTTTAAAATTTATAAGATTTTTTAACTCAAAAAAGTCTTTTAAAATCTTAATCCAATATACCCCCTTAATCTCTATCTGTCTCTCTCTCTCTCTCTTTTTTTTAACACTCTAAGCTCTTTTATTATAACAAATTTTTTGACAGTAAATTATTTTATAATAACTTATAATTAATTATGTTATATTTAGGATGTTGAATTAATTTTGTGAAACCTATTTGATTAATAATGTATTGAATATTAAAAATTCAGCACATAAATTTGTTATATAAGGTTATTATGATTTTTAAAAAGGTTTGTTTTTTCTGCCCTGCATATAAGTTATCTGTAGTAAGTCCAATACGACGTCGTTTTAAGGCGAAATTCATGGTGTTTTTGTAATTTTAATTTATTTCAGGATTATAATAGTATTTATCATTCTAATATTTTTATTTTTCAACCTCAAAACGACGTCGTTTCAATAAACATTAGACAAAATTATCTAAAATAAAATTAAATACTTTTTTTTTCCATAACTTAAATATATATTTAAATATAATTATTCAATTTAAACAGTTGAACCAATAACCTAATATCCTAAACAAGTCAATTAGCGGGCGGAATTTTATAAGATTGGTCTCGAGCTTGGCAGTTGACACATATGGTTGTTAAAAATGATGGTGAAATCTATTTATTGTCAAACTTTTCAAAAAGTAATTTGGGGATTTACTCTCCGTAAACAATGGGTGTAAAGATTCAGTTGGGTCTCCGGTCGGGTCTATTCAACGGGCGATCGATTTAAGAATTAGAAGAGTGGATCAACATTTCATTTCACCCACCACACCACCACACCACCAATCCCCCACACACGCACTCGTTCAAATTCTTACAGTAGTTGGAAGCGACGATAAAGCAAAGTAAAAAAAAAAAACATTGGTATGGCTATCTCGTTGTGTACCCCTACCTCCTACAATCTCAAACTCAAATTGGACGGCAGAGTCTCCCATAAACTAAACGCAAACTCCTTTGCTCATTATAAGCGTCGTTTTGGCTCGAGCTCAACCAGAATCTGTTGCAACTCTAATAATTACGGCGACAACGACAAACGACGACCTCAATCTGATGCCATTCAAGTTTACACCCAAATTGAGAGGTTCTTTCTCTTTTATTATTATTATTATGTTACTCTTGTTTACTCTTTTGATTTATTTTCGTCTTTTAATAAAAACCGTCAATTGATTTGCATATCTGAAATAAATTAGTTCTTTGATGAGCGAGGAAAAAAATATAATAAATAAGAGAGAATAAATAAATATAGATGCTTGAGGAAAATAACTATTCAGGGTATTGGTGATTGAGGAAAAAGATATGGATAATTGGAATAATCTCTAAACTATAAGTTTTAGCTTAAAAACCGCACTGCAGTTTGTAGCTCATGGGTTTCTTTTATTTCTTTGCAGATTGCTTACAGATTCTGTTAAACAATCACAGGATGCCTGGTGGGGTTCCAGCGACTGGAGTGAAGTTGAGGTACATAATAGTAAATACCCTTCTGGGTCCTTGACAAAAAACACGGTCCCCATTTTAGTCCCTTGCAAAAAAAAATTACTCTTGAGGTCCCTAAAAAATTCAAAGTGGATCCATTTAGTTGAAATCGTGGTCCCTTACAAATTCAAAAAAGACCCATATTAGTCCCTCAAAAGGACTAAAATGGGTCCATTTTGAATTTCTTAGGGACCTCGAGACTAATTGTTTTTTGTAAGGGACTAAAGTTAGGATCGTATTTTTTGTGAGCGACCCAAAAGGGTATTTACTCTAATATATAGTATGATTTATTATTTTATATTCAGTATCATATAGTTAAAGTTTCATTCATGTTGGGCAATTTGTCAGTATATATTTGGTACTAGCTTTCGTCATTCTGAAAAAGGCTATTCTTTTTTTGAGCAGTCTGATGAAGATGATTCTTTATTAGAGAAGAAGATTACTGTATGCTATCATAGAGAAGGTTATATAATTATATGTGAGAGGAATTTGAAACACAAAACACTAGACTTCATATAAACATATCTGTATTCTGTTGGTATTGCAGTTTCTATTCTTAGGATTTTTTATAGTATGAAGGGCTTTTGTTTGATACCTTTGGAGACTCGTGACATGATGCTTTATATACCTAATAGTTTCTGATGGGCCATGGGCCTGAAAGTTAGTGAATTAGTTAGTTTGTTATGGAAATTATTCTAAAATATTCCTAAAGTATTGGATAAAAGGAGAGTGTGTGTACTGAGGTATGCATGAATTCTGTATTGGCTTATGGGGAAATTGGGGATCTCTGGGAGTTGAGATTTCTGAGTTTATTTTCTACATTTTATCCTTGTAAGGAGCTTGTCTCTGTTTATATTTTCTGCAATTTTACATTAATAAAAGTAGGTTCCATCAATTTAGTATCAAAGCACTACAATCCTAGGAGTGCTTTTTGATCCAGATCTACAAATAAAAAAAAGGAAAATAAAATTAAATGGGAGCAATCAGTGATTTAGAGCATAGGGAAAAATTGAAAAAAATCTTGAATGTCTTCAAGAAGGCAATGAAGAACATGGAGAGACAGAAGCTTGAATATGAGAAGATGGAGTCTGAGAGCTTTAAAAGTATCCAAGAAGCAGCAACGACTGAAGAAGCGAACGACGAAGAAGATGCAGATCAGAAAATAGAAGAAGATGACGACAGTGCAGAAGAAGAAAAAGAAGGAATCGATGAAGAAAAGGAAAAGGACACAGTAGCAAAAGAAGAAACAGGAGTCGTAAAAGATCAGGAAGAAGAAAGAGACAAAGAAGATGTAGCAGGATCAGAGAAAAAAGAAGAAGGGAAAAATAATAAAAATGCAGAAGATGTAGAAGAAGAAGTGGATGGAGATGAAGTTGCAAAAAAGGAAAGAAAAAAACATGCAGCAGAAAATGAAGAAGAAGAAATGAGCGAAGAAGAAGAAGAAGAAAAAATAAAAGAAATAGTTGATGACGGAGGCGGAGAGAAAGAAGATGGAGAACAGGAGAAGCTGCATCTACATGGCCAAATCGATCTGGATTGTGTCTCCATAGATCAGAAGATGGCTTTAGCTCAAATGGTGGAAGTTATGTCTGTGCAAGGGATCAAAGAAAAGGAAAAGCTAGCAGAGAGGATGATGATTCACTTGGGCCGTAGGGTGAAGTGTGAAAATAATAGGCCCAATATACATATTATGGAAACCACTAATGGGCCAACGGCCACAAGCCCGAACAACAAAGACCCAGATTCTAATAATTTCCAAGGTGTGAATAATAGGGCTGTTGGGCCTCACATTCGGCCCAATGAAACAAACCCTACACCTGTGCAAGTGGCAGTTGAAGATATAGAAGGGCAAGAGTCAACGCAGGGAGCTTCCGTGGGAAATGTCAATGGTGGCGATAGGTGCGGCACACATTTCCAACGACTGTCGTCGGAGGAGATGGAGGAACGACGGCGGCACAACTTCTGCTTCTTGTGTGACGCTCCAAACTCGGCAAATCAGGGGCTGGCGATGAGGGACCTAGGAGAATAGTGAGCAACGTGAACCAGAATTTGAAGGAATGGAAAGATTCAACACTATGCACCTAGATGTTTGAAGGAACGACATTTGCTGCATACGCAAATACTAAAATAATAGTCAAGCTGGTGGATGATGTTGGTGCTGTTTGTTAGAATAGTTGTAAAAATAGTTCAGTATATATATAGTCCCACATCGTATGAGCTCAACCTATTAGGTGTTTTAGTCTCTTTAAATAGAGAGCTCTTGTACATTGTAATACACTATGATTATTCAATATACAATTATTCTTTAATCTCAAGTTGGTATCAGAGCTTTTTCGCTCTGGGGATCCGCTTCCGCTAAAACCCTAAGCCCACTGCTTAGGTGTTCTCTTCTACTTTGCCGTGCATTCTTCCGGCGAGTTTTTCTCTAAAGCCGTGTGTCTCTCCGGCTTGTTTCTTCAACTGTCAGAACCACTTCCCGCCGTCAACAACCGCCGCTCGTCACTGTTCAGGCCACCGGAGCACTGTTCCGGCGAGTTTTCAGCCCAAACTACCTGCGATCAGGACCGTCTCATCCCGGCGACCAGTTCTGTGGTGGTCCGACCACCGTCGCGTCAGCCACGAGCCTCCACGCACCGTTCTTCTCCTCTGCGCGTGGTGCTCACGCGCCACCTTCAACCGACGCGTGTGCACTGTTCCGGTGGATTTTCCGGCCGTTCTTGGACAGAACTTCTCGCCTTCTTCTCCTCTTTCCGGATCTGTGCTTGGTTCTTTGTGGGTCTCACTTTAGACGCGTGGTTCTCCTTGATTGGATATCGTTTGCCTTCGTTTACGGCTTTTATATTCTATTTTTAAATGGCAGCAGCGTCCACTGATCTCTCGGAGGTTAACTCTCCTTGTCCTCCTGTCAAAACTTCCTCAGGAATCATCTCTACTAATATTGGGCCCATTACATCTTCCAAACTGAAGGATTCTACCTCTCTTGCTGCGAATATAGCTCAGTCAGACAATGCATCATTTGGTTCAGTTTCTCTCTCACTTGCGGATTATGCTGCACTCCAAACTCTTCTCAAGAAGGCTTCTCCTCAGTCTCAACCATATACTGGTAATCCCGTTGCTTGTGTTTCTCATTCTACATCACTTGGCACTTGGATATTTGACTCAGGTGCTACCGATCATCTCTGTGGTAATAAGGAACTCTTTACATCTCTTACTTATTCTGATCATTTACCTTCTTTTACCCTTGCGGATGGAACCAAAGCCCCAGTTCGTGGGATTGGACAAGCTCGTCCGACCTCTACCTTGGCCTTGACATCTGTTTATTACATTCCTGGCATCCTTTATAACTTAATTTCTATTAGTAAGTTGATCCACTCCCTCACTTGCACCATTACTTTCTCTAACCATTCTGTTTCTGTGCAGGATCCGGGTACGGGGGAAATGATTGGAGTGGGTCGTGAGTCACGGGGGCTTTACTATCTGGATGTGCCTCGTCCTTCAGTGGCACTCTCTCTCACAGATTCTCCACAACTTATCCACAGTCGCCTCGGTCATCCAAGTCTTTCAAAGTTGCAGAAAATGGTTCCTCTTTTATCTGGTCTTCAGTCTTTAGATTGTGTGTCATGTCAACAAGGGAAGCATACACGTCCCTCTTTTGCCAGTCGAGTCAATAAACGAGCTAATGCCCCTTTCTCTCTTGTTCATTCAGATATCTGGGGTCCAAGTCGTACCTTGTCTGTTTTAGGTTTTCGGTATTTCGTTACCTTTATTGATGATTTTCCCTGTTGCACTTGGGTCTATTTAATGAAAAATCGTTTTGAGTTATTTTCCATTTATAAAAAGTTTTATACTGAGATTCATACTCAATTTGGTGTTTCTATTCGTATTTTACGTAGTGATAATGCTAAGGAATATGTTTCTATTGATTTTTCTAATTTCTTGGCCACACAAGGTACTTTACATCAAACTACTTGTCCTCACACTCCACAACAAAATGGGGTGGCTGAACGTAAAACCAAACATCTCATTGAAACTACACGTACCCTTCTTCTTCATATGCAGGTTCCCCTTCACTTCTGGGCAGATGCTGTACTCATCTCTTGTTTTCTCATCAATCGCATGCCCTCATCTGTGCTCAACAATGACATTCCTCATAACCTATTGCTTCCAGATGTTCCTCTTTATCCTCTAACTCCACATGTCTTTGGTTGTACTTGTTTTGTTCATGATCTCACTCCTGGTAAGGATAAGTTAACATCCAAAGCCTTTCAGTGTATCTTTCTTGGTTATTCTCGTCTTCAAAAGAGTTATCGTTGTTATTCTTCCGATCTTAAGCGTTACTTAGTTTCCGCTGATGTCACTTTTCTTGATCAACAACCCTTTAATTCTATTCCATCTCAGTTGTCACAGGTTGATCATGTTCTTCCTGTCCCTTTTCTTGACTTGTCTTTGCCAGCTGCAGGTGCTTCTATTCCAAATGAGCAACCTATTGCTTCTATACCTGAGGACCGTCCCCTTCTCACCTATCAGCGTCGCAAAACTGTGCCTCTTGTCGACTCGACTCTTGCTGACTCATCACCCACTGCTGTTGCTTCTTCCTCTCCGGATCCTTCACCAGAGGCTTTTCCCATTGCTCAAAGAAAAGGTACACGTACTACTCGTAACCCTTATCCTCTTTATACTTTTTTGAGCTATGACCGTCTTTCTTCACCTCATTTCACATTTGTTTCTAGTCTTTCTTCTATTTCTATTCCTAAGACCACAGGTGAAGCACTTTCCCATCCAGGGTGGCGCCAAGCGATGCTTGATGAGATGACTGCACTTCATTCCAATGGCACTTGGGACCTTGTTTCTGCTCCTCCAGAGAATTCTACAGCTGGTTGTCGCTGGGTGTTTACTGTGAAAGTTGGACCTGATGGCCATGTTGATCGACTCAAGGCCCGCCTAGTTGCAAAGGGTTTTACTCAAATATTCGGCCTTGATTATAGCGATACATTCTCTCCGGTCGCTAAGATGGCGTCAGTTCGCCTATTTCTTGCTCTTGCTGCTATTCGTCACTGGCCACTCCTTCAACTTGACATCAAAAATGCCTTTCTTCATGGTGATTTACAAGAAGAAGTTTATATGGAGCAACCACCGGGTTTTGTTGCTCAGGGGGAGTCTGGGAAGGTGTGTCGTCTTCGCAAATCCTTCAAGCAGTCTCCTCGGGCATGGTTCAGTCGCTTCAGTTCTGCTGTTCAGGAGTTTGGCTTAATTCGCAGTAAAGTTGACCACTCTGTGTTTTATAGGATCACATCTCCTGATAAGGCATCTATTTGTTAGTCTATGTTGATGACATCATCCTCACCGGGAGTGATCAAGCTGGAATTTGTCAGTTAAAACAGTATTTATTCAGTCAATTTCAGACAAAGGACCTCGGGAAGCTGCGTTACTTCTTGGGAATTGAGGTAGCACAATCTAGACATGGAATTTCTATCTGTCAAAGGAAGTATGCCTTGGATATCCTAGAAGAGACTGGTATGTTGGAGTGTAAGCCAGTTGACACACCCATGGATCCTACTATCAAATTACTACCTGGACAAGGAGAACCATTATCTGATCCTGGACGTTATCGGAGGTTGATTGGGAAGCTCAATTATCTCACTATGACTAGGCTGGACATTTCTTTTGCTGTTAGTGTCGCTAGTCAGTTTCTTGATTCTCCGTGTGATTCTCTTTGGGATGCTGCTGTTAGGATCCTTCGTTACATCAAAGGAGCACCAAGTAAAGGTTTATTATATTCAGATCAGGGAAATACTGAAATTTGTGGTTATTCAGATGCCGATTGGGCAGAATCACCCTCGGATAGGCACTCTACTTCAGGCTATTGTGTTTTCTTTGGAGGAAACCTGATTTCTTGGAAAAGTAAGAAACAAACTGTTGTTGCCCGATCTAGTGCAGAGGCCGAGTATCCTGCAATGGGAGTTGCTACCTGCGAGCTAATCTGGTTAAAGCAGTTGATTCGGGAGCTCCATCTTTGTGAACAGAAGAAACCCATGACTCTCATTTGTGACAATCAAGCTGCACTACATATATCCTCTAATCCTGTATTTCATGAGAGAACCAAACATATAGAGATCGATTGTCATTTCATTCGAGAAAAGATTCAGTCAGAAGAAATCAAAACGGAATTTGTCAACTCCAATGATCAACTCGCGGATGTCTTCACTAAAGCTCTTAGGGGTCCTCGGGTTGAATATATTTGTGGCAAGCTGGGTGCTTACAATATATATGCTCCAGCTTGAGGGGGAGTGTTAGAATAGTTGTAAAAATAGTTCAGTATATATATAGTCCCACATCGTATGAGCTCAACCTATTAGGTCTTTTAGTCTCTTTAAATAGAGAGCTCTTGTACATTGTAATACACTATGATTATTCAATATACAATTATTCTTTAATCTCAAGTCTGTTGTCCACGATTATCTTGAGGTCAATAGCCACTTGAAGGACGTGTTTGTCCCAAATGATAATGTGTCCATGGCAGAGATGCAGTTTTCAAGGAGTGAGCAATCCCAGTATTTTAGCACTGCACGAATGGAAGCAAGTGGCAGTTTTTTGGTTTCAAGAATTGGTCAATATGTTTCAAGCAGTGGGACCCTGGTGGATGTTTTCTCACATTATTTGTCCTCTTCCTTCACCTTGAGGACAATGTGAGTTTTGGAGGGGGAGTATTGATAGGCCATGAGCCTGAAAGTTAGTGAATTAATTAGTTTGTTATGGAAATTATTCTAAAATATTCCTAAAGTATAGGATAAAAGGAGAGTGTGTGTAGTGAGGTATACATGAATTCAGTATCGGCTTATGGGAAAATTGTGGATCTCTGGGAGTTTGAGATTTCTGGATTTATTTTCTACATTTTATCCTTGTAAGAAGCTTGTCTCTATTTATATTTTCTGCAATTTTATATTAATAAAAGAAGGTTCCATTAGTTTCTAAAACACTAAAAGCAGCAATATGGTTTTGGCTTCGCGAAAGTTTGTTGGAAGAGACAATTATCTATTCTTATCGCATTGTTTTGAAATTATTCTCAATCTCAATAATCTTAGTACATATTCATTGTATAATTTCAGGGAGCATGGATTCTCAAACCCAAAAGCTCCAAACCCAATTTTGTTGTTCATTTTATCGGAGGTATATTTGTTGGTGCTGCCCCTCAGCTTACCTACCGTTGGTTTCTGGAGCGTCTCTCAGAAAAGTAAGTCCCTGTGATAATTACTTGTTGATTGTGGGCCTCTTGAATGCTTTTTCCTTTTCTTTTTTGTTCTTTTCTTTTTATAATGTATATATTGTTATTTTAGTTTAGAACCTTTGGATATTTCCATTAGCTGACAAATCCTATTTGTTCTATGAAATATCCTTACATCTTGAGACTCAGATCTAGGATCTATCAATGAAGAAAACTAATTCCAAACCTTTTCTGTTACTAGGGGTGTATTGATCATTGCAACGCCATATGCTAGTGGGTTTGATCACTTCCTCATTGCAGATGAAGCACAGTTCAAATTTGATAGGTGCTACCGCTTGCTGCAAGAAACAGTAGGTTTCAACGTATGACATGAGGGCTAATTTCTTTCTATTTTCTAATTTTCTTTTTTTGAAAGGAAAATGATAAAGATACTCATTGATTCAGATCCAAGACCTTCCTATTTTTGGTGTTGGCCATTCTCTGGGATCAGTTGTCCACCTTCTGATTGGTAAATTAAACACCTTCTGCTAAACTTGATTGTAGAAGGTAAATTGATTTGGTTTGTGAATACTCAATAAATTGATTATTTCACCAGGATCAAGATATGCAGTACAAAGATCTGGAAATATTCTCATGGCATTCAATAACAAGGTATTTCATCTTGCAAGCAACTTATATGTATACAATCTGCCTTGGTAGAGGATATATTTTCTCAACATTTCCTATGTAAGAATCTCCTTTATAATCAAATAATGATTGCCTAAATTTTGTTTCATTGTTGCAGGAAGCAAGTTCAGCTGTCCCGTTGTTCTCTCCAGTTATTGTCCCAATGGCTCAAAGCATTGGTCCACTTCTATCAGATATTTTTTCTTCACCAACTCTACGTGCAGGGGTCAGTATTCCTTCATAATTATCTTGCCTGGAAATGGAGGAAGACATCTATTAATATTTTCTAGGAGAAACATCAACAACCTCCTCCGAGGTATGTCAAATAGAATTTGGCTCCTTTTCTGTTTTATGTCATATTACAACAACCTTCCCTTCAGGTTCATTAAACAAAATTAAGTTGGAACAGTCATATCCTGATGTAGACAAATTCTTTTAATATCTGGCTTTTTTTATTTTTTTATTTTAATTGTGCTATTGGATACAGTTAGACCTTTTTCAGTCAAACTCTTAGACATCTCACGTAAGGTGTTACTTTATTCATGTGAAAGACAAAGCTGCAATGTCAAATGAAAAGTTTTTTTAAAAAATAATATTTATTTCTTACCATGAAACATTAGTATATCTCTTCTATTGATTTTTCCATCCAAAATGCTTTTATAGAGAGGAGTGGGAAGTCCAATTGCAGAGTTTCACCAACAAATTAAAAGATGAAGAAGCCTAGGATTTCTTAAGGGAGGTTGTTGCTATATGATATTAAAAACAAAGGGAGTCAAGTGCTATATTAGAAACACGATAAGTCCTTGTCATTTGACCATGTCTCAAGAAAGCTACCGCAATTTCCTTCAAGTGTGAATTGTTCAATACAGTAATTGCATAGTAGAAGTTAAAAATGTTTCGTGTCTTGGGAGCTTGTTGCAGTAAGGGAGTCAACTAAAATATTGGAAACAAATTGGATGGTGTTTGTTAGGATATTGCTTTGATTTTCCCTGTTATTTCAGCAATCCTTACTCTGACAGCCGTTGCTGCTATGTCTAGTCTGGGGCAATTTTGTGGTAGATTTACATATTGTTTTCAAGTACCAACAAGTATCCTTTGCACAGTGTTGGTTTTACTTCTTTAGATGGCTAATCTTAGACGTCTGAACTGAAATACTTGCAGGCAGAGATGACTTTGAAACAATTAGAAAACGTTAGCCCTCCCATTATGAAACAGGTTCTTCCTTTGGTTGAGCAGCTCCCTCCCTTGTACATGGATTTGGTCAAGGGAAGAGAAGATTTTACTCCAAAGCCTGAGGAGACACGTCGACTTGTATGTGATATCTCTGATTACTAATTCCTAACATTTTGAACCTTGTAATAAGTGAAGGGTTTGTTTTATCATTCATGCTGCCTAACTCTCAACATTGCAATTCAATCCTCTGTCAGTGAGCATAGTTATTTGTTTATAATTAATTGGGGAAAACATTTGTTTTTTTAAAAGATATAACTTTGTGTCATTTTATATCCTAATCGTTGATTTCCGTCAATCAATGGTTATAATTTATTGCGAATTATTAATTAATTAAAAAGTTTAACCTAATAAATGATAACCGTTGATTGACGGAAATCAACAGTTAAGATCTAAAACGATACAAAGTTATATCTTTTAAAAGGACAAACATTTTTCCCTAATTATAATACTCCTCTTGCATAAATTATATTTCTCATTAACATAAAGATTGCAGCTATAGTTTCTTCCTGCATTGAATTCTTAGGTCTTAGAATTTTGAGATCATACTCTTTTCATGGTTTATATAATCACATCTTAGAAGACAGCTTTATAACTGAATGTCATTTTATGGTGTAGGTTATTCATATTTATTACGTAATCCTATAGTTATTCTCATCTTACATTATATTTACAATGAAAAAAGGGAGGGGCAGGGCGACAAAGTTGATGCTGATATAAAAAATTGCCAATCTTATCCAACTCTCTTTTAATACTGTTAAGCTTAAATTACTAATTAGGGTCCAAAACCAACAATTGTGGGGCCTTTTGTTGAGATTCATGTAATTATTGAGAGCAGCAACTTTTGTTTCGTATTTTTGTTTTTCTGTTTTGAGTTTCTTTTTAGGTTTGCATTTGATTTTTGCCATTAATTGTTTCTTAATTCTTCAGATAAAATCATACTATGGCATATCCAGAAATCTTCTAATAAAATTCAAGGATGATTTAATAGATGAGACTTCAACTCTAGCACAGGTGCTCAGTTCAGAATCAGCAATTAGCTCAGTGCTAGACATGTCAATACGCAAATTGCCTGGAGATCACGGTCTTCCATTGCAGCAGGTACTTCTAGTAAATATGGAACAGTTGACCAAAGTGTTACTGTTTGGCAAATTTTTTACCCAAATACCATATGAACAGTACTTTTTACTAGACTGCCACACTTCAAAGTTCGCTACCACTGGTACCAAACTTCATCGCCAATGATTTCGTGACACATGACATACTTTCACAGGAAAAGTTAACTGGTGGTAGCGAACTTGGTATGCTATGTGGCACACGAATAATGTTATGTGTCACGAAATCACTGGCTACGAAGTTCGCTACCAGTGATAGCGAATTTTGACGCGTGATATTTGGATAAAAAATTTGCCAAACAATAGTACTTTGGTCGATGTTCCAGTAAATATAAGTTTACTTGTCCCAATATGGCTTTTTTTGGGTAATTTTTATTATCCCCTTTGCAGGCCCTACCGGATGTTCCACCATCAATGGCCGATGCAGTTAATCGTGGAAGTGAGCTTTTGTCAAATCTTACCATAGGAACACCATGGGAGATAGTTGCCAAAGAAGTGGGGAACACGCTTGGCATGGATTCAAAAGTCCTTCGTGCTGAAGTCTCAAAGGACATGGATCTGCTTTTGGATGTGATCTCATCCTGGATAGCCTCCAACTCAGGGCCTAAACTTTTGAGGCCGTAAGGTCACAATTTGAGCAACTTTTGCAAATAGAAAGAGATGCTTTGTAGAAATATATAGAAAAAACAAAGTTGGCATTAATACTTCTTTCATCCTATCTTGTAGAATGCCGGTCATGTTAATGCATACAAGTAAAGCAAATAGAACTTTGCCAATCACCCGATGTAAAAATATGATCTGCATTGAGACAGAAATAGTTGTGATATAAAAATTATTGGTTTCTCGGAATTTAGCCGTTCAAAATTGTCGTTCGTATTTTCCGAAGGTATGATAGGATGCCAACCTTCAATTAATTTATTTTTATTTTTATTTTTTTTTAACAATCTTGCTTGCACAATTCTAAGCCTAGGGGGTGGTTATGTTGATTTTAAAATCCTGATGATCTATGTTTAATGTATGTAAAAATTCACGTAAATTTTGTTTGATTTGTCATGAGCTAGTTTTTCCAATAACTTAAATTTTTAGGTGAACATACATGAATTGTAACACCCCAAATTTCTAACAATTTATAAAACAATCTTATAATAAATAAATTGTCAAAATTCATTTTTTTTTTTACAATTATAATAATAGAAATATTGCGGAAGCTAATCTAAATTTAATTTGGGGAATGTTACCGCCGCACCTGTACAATGGACAGGTGCAAGGCTAAATTTATTACATTAAAATAAAACCAAGGGATAGGATATTGTGACACCCAAGTTATGTTACACCCATGTGACACCCAGTCAATCTCACCGTTAGATCGCTTATGTTGATCCAACGGTTATATTTATTTCCATCTTTGTATGGTCATGATTTCCCAAATTTAAAGTGAAAGCATTAAATATGGGAAATCATAACCATACAAAAGTAGAAATAAATATAAAATATTAAATTTGGGAAATCATGACCATACAAAGATGGAAATAAATATAACCGTTGGATCAACATAAGCGATCTAACGGTAAGATTGACTGGGTGTCACATGGGTGTAACATAACTTGGGTGTCACAATATCCTATCCCTAAAACCAAAGACTAAATTTATCCGAGTCGTGATCCTCACTGCCCACAGCTAGTCCCATCCTTTGCAACATGCTTCACTGAAAATCTGCTCCCCCGCAGCCGCAGGATCATTGCAGTCAAACAAACACAAAAGTCAGCAAAGCTGGTAATCCCAATCAAAATACAATTAATGTAATTAATAACAAATTAAATCAGATATCAAATAGTGTTCAAATCAATTCCACATTAATCAAATCAAATATCAATATAATAATCTAAATTCCATTATATAATATTTATCGTTATTAAGTTCATTTAATGTATTTGGTAATTATCAACTAACATGTTTAGCACAACATTAATCATAATATGATAATATTCACAACTCAATGACATTCTTCATAATCAAATCAAATAAAAAATTTCATTAATAATAATGTTTAAGTTCATTATATTTAGTGGGAAGAGAACCATGGTAGACCCGGGAAACCCTGCCAGTCACAAACAAATCACATTGGCCATAATCAATTCACATCTTCCTAGTGTGCACACCTCTTCCCAAAGTTGCTACTAGTATCCCGGGAAACCCTGCCAGACACCACTTTGGGAAGAACGGATACAATCTTTTCACATCAGTTTCACATCGGAGGCATAAAGCCCAAAAGTTGTGTTCATGCAAGGAGTAGGGGATAAAATGGGAGAATAAGGGGGAGAGAGAAGGGAGGAGGCATGGAAATTGAGTATTAAGAGGAAGGTCACCTTGGGCTCAGATTTTTTTGATATGTCTGGTTTATGTTGTAGATCAATTTTTCTGGTCTTGTAAGGAGGTTTCCTCCATTATTTTCTGTTTCTGTAAGGAGGATTTCCTCCATTATTCAATAAGTTTTAAAAAAATACAGGTTATTTCTTTGGGGGGTTTTTTTTGTAATTTTATTAAATTTTCCCATCAATATTTTATCTACAACCAAACACACATTCAGTTATTTAACTAAATTTTCCTGGTAAAATTTTGTCCAACCAAACAACATTTTTTAAACTTTCCTATATAACTCACTTTCCCCGCAGATCCCCAATAATTACATTTTCCTAGTAAAACAAAATTTCTCCTGAACCAAACACTTTGTTTCTTTCTTTTCCTCCTATGCACGCAACTCTCTTCTTTTCTTTCTTTCCAAGTTGCTTTATTCTTTTAAGTGGCCAATGACATTGGTTAGAATGTGGAAAAGTCAATAGAGTAAAAAAATGAAAGTTTCTTAGTCATTTTGGACCCATTAGGTCGGTTGCTCTCTTGTCTTTCTCAATAGATGACACTTCTTCTCTTTTTTACCTAAGAAAGTCCTGAGCTTCATAGAAAGGAAGGGTGAGCTTGGAGCTTAGGTTAAATCCATAACACAAAAAAAGAAAGCTTATCATTTAGTGATCAAAATCTTCCATTTATTTCTTCTTGTGGGGCTGTATATAGTGAGCTTTCTCTCCGCGACATACTTGTTTGTCTTCAAGATATATATATGTGTGTGTCTTGAAAGCTTTATATGGTAAGATATATATATATATGTGTGTGTGTGTATTGGAAGCTTTATATGGTAAGAAACCTAATTTCTAGTGGTTGGATTTTAATATATGAATTTAGGTTTTATGTGTTGGGGCTGATTTTAAAGGTCATGAGTCATGATTATTTGATGGTTTATATGATTGTATGTTGATTCTTTAGTTGGTTGAAGATGTTCTATGTTTGATATTGTTTAAAAGAAAAATCAAAGAACCTTGTACATATAGGGTACAATTCGGCCATCACCAAGGAAATGAGCTTGGAAGTGCATTTCATGATGTCTGTATGTTGTATGATGTTCCTTTATGGGATGGAACTAAGATATAAGGTGGATTGGATCAATTAATAGCCAAAGAAATATGTGAAAGATTAATGATTCCTAAAGCCCACAATTCAGCTATCATCATGTAGATGATGTTTTAAGGGAAAAATGTGTGTCATTTTAAAGGATGTAAAGTTGTGTCATTTTAAGAGAGAGAGAAAGAGATAGATAAAGAAAGAGAGAGAGAGTTGACAAAAAAATAAAGATGTGGGTCCCACCTCTTTATGAGAGTGAAAGGATATAACCTTAAAGTATGCACTCTCTTCTAGGTTTTTCCATTTTCACGTAGACATTGTCTTGTTCACTCTCACGGTTGCCACCTTTTGTTCTACAAGAAATTTCCTCAAGAAAATAGCCAAAGACATAACCTTTCTTCTTCCTTCTTCCATCCTAACCCTCTAGCCACTTGAAAGCAAGTATATTGGGCAGAAAACCCTATCCTTGGTGTGTTCTTGTTGTTGTTTTGGGGTGGAAAGTGTGATTCTTGTGAGTTTTGAGAGTTGGAGCCAATATCAAGCTTGCTGGGAGGCTCTTGGTGGTGAGCGGAGGGATTTGTATCACTCCATTTTCGTGTATAGTGCTTGGCGAAAGCAAACTATGGACTTGTGACCTTGAAGACTCTTCATTTTCTGTTCTTGATGCTTTGGGTACATTCTTCACTCTTTGTTCTTGAGTTTCATTGAAAAGGAGTAGTCTTGAACATGTAAAAAGAGATAACTAAGTAATCTAGGGGTGAACTAGCATGGATATATACCTAAAAGCGTGTGCTTGGACCGTAACTGATAACTCTTTGCGGAATAATAATTTAACATGCCTAGATATCATATAACACTCCTCTCAAGTCACTAAGGGGTTCCCATAAACCCACTTAGCCTAAATTTCACTTTTACATTTTCTACCTATCCGAACAAAGTTCGGTATTTTAATTACTGCGAAAAATCCGCAAGCCGCACGCTATTCATCTTTTAGTATGTTGTTATAGACTTAATTATCTTTCTAACAAGCTACACGAGTTATAAAGTTCTAGGGACACGCCTTGGATGAGACCCATAGGCTTATATGCCGAGGACGTTGCGTGGTATTGGTAGCTACCATTCCCGCTTCGTCGTATGTTGTATTCCTACATTCCCCAGTTTCTCTAAATCCCTTGCTATATCCCGTTTTGAAAAGAGGTTGTTTTATATTATTTATATGCATCGAAGTGAGCCATTGGACGGAGTTTTCTCCAAAACCTCTGGGTTGCTGAGATATATTCGTATATCTCACCCCGTCTTGAGGGCTTTATTTCAGGAGGTAGCAGTGGCACCAGAGCAGCGGGCAAGAAGCCCGTAGGATGAGTGTTGGAGGGCATTTTCATATTTTGCATTTTGATGGCCATTGGGCCTAGGCTAGACTTAGGACATGAACATTTCATATGGATGTAGGAGGAGATTCATATTCATATTTGTTCATGTCATTTTGCCTAAGTCTAGTGTATATGTCATTTTAAGCTTTATGTTTCAAGTTGTAATTTAAAGTTATGAATTTGTAAGTTGTAATATGTAATTGAGATGTTGTAATTGTACAATGAATACTTGATGTAATATGATGGAAGGGCTTTAGGCCTATTTTAGGATTATGATTATGTGTATGTTTGGAAAATGCATTTAAATGGACATTGGTGATTGAAATAAGTCAAGGATTAATAAAGTGAGAAATATGGTATGAATTGTGTAATAACTATAAACTGAGTTGGGTTGTAAGTGCCCCAAGGCATTGTTGGTCCTTGTGTGTGCCACCCATTGGTTATTAAGTACATTTGAGGTATTAGAAAGCATTTGCAAACTTTGGGATTTTTGTAAAAACAAAGGAAACTCTGTCGAATTTTCTGTAGAATTGGCAGAATTTAGGCGAATTTTGGGAGAGTATATCTCCCTCCACAGAGGTTTGATAGGGACGGTACATATTCCATTTTGAAGATTGAGATGTCCTCTATCTTGTGGTAAAATTTGAGAGAATTATGGGTTACATGGCGGCCTGGGGAAGGCAGAGAGTACAGACTGCCCAATTGCTCACTGCACTTGTGGCAGTTCTGGACCGGTTTTGGGAAATTTATTCCCGCTTCGTTTCTTGGTCAAACTAAGTGTATGATATATCAAATTGAAGCTTGAGGTGTCTAGTTTATGGTATAAAATTTTTGAGAGCAATTGAGGGAGTTGTTTTTCTGCAGTAATTCGTGGAGTGAAGGATGTTTGCAGCTGTTTTGGGATTGGTTGGCAGTTTTGCTTGTCCAACTTCAAACAGTGATATCTGGAGCAAACGAGATCGAAATGACTCGTGTGATGGCTCATTGGAAAGGTATTTAAGTAAGAAAAAAAGATAGC